TCATTAGGCAGTTAGGGTAAAAAGACCCCAAAGAAAAGTAGCTAGTTTCTTGGCTAAAAGTCAAAATGTCTTTAGGCCTCTTAGCAACACACTCTGTTCCAAAGGCCAAAAATGTCAAAAGTGTTTGGGAGTTTGTATCTAATCCTTAAAAGATTTTAGGGTCACCTCTTCAGAAGGGGGAATGTTGGAGGGGAGGGAGTGGGCATGGATTTGATCAAAACATCTTATATGCATGTATGAAAGTCAAATTAAAATTTAAAAAAAAAGAGAAGTGGGCACCCCTCATTTACTGCAGCACTGGAAAGTCTATACTTAAATATAGATCCTGTGACTTCCCGACAGCTGCAGAAAATGGCTAACCAGGATTTTTTATTACCATTGTCTGGCCTTGAGCATGTTTTGTGATTAAAACTTTCTACATTATACTCTTTCTTTCCTTTATGGTTTTGGATTTTTTCTAAGATGAGAAGGGAATGCCAGTTAACAACAGCCTCTTTAAACTGGAAGCCTATTGCATGTAAACAAGAGCTACAAAACATCTCTTTACTTTTTGTAAGCTAGGCGGAACATTTCTCTGAATTGTTTCTAGAAATTTGCCTTTGCTTTTATATTCATTTAGTTATTATAACCAGGTTCTAGGGCCCATGATCTCCCTAGCTGTAAGATTATGACTGGGTTTAAAGTACAAGCATGCATTCCCTTCTGTGGAGCAGGTCTTAGATCCAATCAGGAAGCAGTTGGCTGCCCCTGGAACTGTCATGAAACTAGTGCACCTGGGGATACATCTTGACAGACAAGTCACTATTAGCACACAGGGTCCAAAGCAGGGTTAGATTGTTGATGATTTTTTCTCCCAATAGCTTGTACAGTAATTCCAGCATTATGAACCCTAGTCATCAAGGAGGAAACTTCCAGCTAGTTCCAGCTTGATTTTTGTAATATTTCTGAAGTTTGTGTTGTCCTCAGAAAGAGGGTCTTGCTATCTAGTTCTGGTGGGCAACCAAGAGCTTTAGCAATAGCCTATATTGTTTGGGGGGGGGTCTTTGGGGACTCCCTGGTCAACAACTCCTAGGGTGGTGTTCCTTACCTGGCACTAGGGATTTGGTTAAAGACCTGTTACTTCTTGGAGCAGCACTAATCACCCATGGGTGAATAAAAATATTTTTTGAGACCGTGTCTTAATAAGTTGCCCTCTGGCTAGAACTTGTGATGTTTCTGCCTCAGTCTCTCAAGTAGTATCTTATTCTTCAAATTCTATGTTTAACTCTTTTCCTAATCCTTATATTTTCTGTAAACTGATAACAAGATATCTAGTTGTAATTAAATTTGGGTTCAAATTCCTAGGCAAAAATACCACATATGATTTCTGCTTGTCTCTTAATAATGTTACTGTAATGGGACTGGAGAGATGGCTCAGTGGTTAAGAACCTGTACTACTCTGCAGAGGACCCAATGTCAGGTCCCAGCACCTGTATCAGGTGTCACACAACTGCCTGTAATCCTGGCTCTGGGGGATTTGACTACCCTTCACCCTTCAGGTATCAGACCTCCGAGATACCTGCACTCATATGCACATACCACACACACAGATAAGCACATATACATTTAATTCAAAACACAATCTTTTAAAACAATGTTACCACAAATCAATGGTTTAGTGTTCTCAGCTTGACATGACAATTATAAATTTTGACTTTGCTGCTGAAGAAATGGCTCAATAGTTATTAATGGTTATTCTGAATGCATGAGGATCTGACCACCTGAGTTTGAACCCCAAGCACTTATGTGAAAAGCTGAGAGTGGCTATGCATGCCTGTAATCTTGCATTGCAGGGGCAGCTTGATGGCCAGACAGCCTAGTGGATGATAAGCTTCTGCATCAGTGAGAGACCCTGTCTCCAGGCAGTAAGGTGGAGGGCAACCATGAAAGATCCCTGATGTCTTGCTTTGACCTCAACATGCATGTGTATGGGCACACACAGCTGTACAATCATGCATGCACCGTACACACATACATGCATGCACACACAAAACACAGATATAAAATTTCTTTCAAATTACCATTTTGACAGTGCCATTTTATTTACTGAACATGTGTTAGATTAGTAGCAAAATTAGATTCAATCATTCTTTTGTAGCTAATTGAAAGAAAATTTATGTTAATTTGTAGTTGTAATGGATTTGTTACTGTCCTCTGATGAATTTTTAAGTTCAGTAACATGAGCAGAATGAACTATTTTTGTTGTTATTGCTATTGTTTTTGTTTTTGTTGACAACACTGTGTCCCAACTGGCCTTGATCTCATGACACTTTTCCTGCCTCATCCTCCTGAGTGCTAGGATTACATGTGTGAGCCATTAAGCTTGGCTAAAAAGAATGTTCTTGTATTCATATAGTTGTAGATAAAGTTATAATCTAGATTAGAAATAATTCATTGGCCTTTGAAAAATAATTTCAAGAAGAACATGTTCTGAAGTGGAGAACTTGTACTTCTAAATAATTTGAAAGCCCAGTGTGATAGCTCATGCCTACAATTCCAGCACTTACAAGGCTGAAGCAAGAAGATTTCTGCAAGTTTGAGACCAAACTGAACTACATAGTAAGTTCAAGGCCAACTTGGGCTACAGAGTGAACTATCTGAAAACAAAAAACTTGAAATAATTGCATAATCATTCTTGTAAGATCTGTGTCTCCACGTATAGATACTACTTTAAAATCTCAAGAATGTGTCCACTCTGCATTCTACTTCCTACTTCACATGAGTTTCATTTTTCTCTCTTTATAGGTTATTAAGTGTGATATGCTGTGATCTGGATGCTCTTCTCTTCCTGGAGGCTCAGTATCAAGTATCCAACATTTTACTGCATGCTCAAGAAGAAAATACCTTTGAACCTTTTGAGAGCCACAGGTTAAAAATAAAAAAAGAAGGAGCACATTAGAGCACAGTGCTATCAGCAGTTTCCTGTAGAAAGAATTTGAGATATTTTCTATGTGGCTTATTTTTGTACTGTATGAATTACTATATTTAAATGACAGTAAAAAGGCATTTAAGCATGAATGCCACAGAAAGATTATGAGATATGTTTTTGCAGAGAGCTTGGGAGTACACTATTAGGACTTTCCTACTTGACATGTGCTGCTTTTGTCTTGGGCTTTTTCTTTTGCTTTAGTTTTCATTGTTATATCATTTTTAAATTCATATTGCTTGTGTAAAATGACCCTTTGAATGAACAGTTGATTTTGCGTTCGTCTTTGAGCCCCTCTTGCCCTAGTTTCATAATTATGTCAGCTCATAGCCAGAGTCTGATAATTTGCAAAGTGAGGTTTTTAGCATTTTTTCTACTAATAAATCACACTTGCCATTACTTCCTTTTGGCTGACATTTATAGAACGTGCATTCAACTGCCACCATTGCTTTGAATTATAGATATAATTCAGAACAGAGCAATGTGCCTCCTTCCTACTCAGGCCATGGAAAGTTAAAGGGCATTTTACTTGGTGGTGAGATTCGATGCAGAAGTCAAACATTAACAACTTCAGAGAATTCTCATAAGCAAATTGTGGATTGTAAACTTAAGGCACCAAGTCTAGAACATAGGAGAGCCTTTTCTAAAGATACAATTAGGTTACTTTAGAAGTAATGTGTGCCCTAATTCCATTTCCATAAGTACAGCATCATTCATCAAGGAAATATTCTTTTATTAATCTCACTAATCTCATGGCAATTGTATGTCCATCAGCTCTTTCCTCTTTATCAAAATAAGTGATGATATAAAACATGAATGTGGCCCTTTGTTTTTTTAATTTTAAGTTTTAACATTTTATATGTATGAGCGTATTGCCCGCATGTATTTAAGCGCACTTGTGTTGTGCAATGCCAGCAGAGGTCAGAAGAGGGCATTAGATCCCTTGGAACTGGAGTTTTGCATAGTTGTCAGCCACCATGTGGGTGCTGGGAACTGAACCTGAGTCCTCTGCAAGAGCAGCCAGTGCTCTTAGTTGCTGAGCCATCTCTGCAGATCCAACATGGTCCTTTGTATTTTCAGTGATATGTTGTTGATGAACAATGTATTTTCCAGATTTCTTTGAAATCTAGTGACATGATTTCAAAAATCAAATTGTATTCTGTTATAGACACAGCAAAACTGATATATTTTCTCCTTCAGGGACTTCATAATTGATGGTTTATCAGTAGAGAGAAATCATGTTCTTGTAAGAATCAATCTCATTGGTGGGCCCTTGGAGCGGATTTTGCCTCCAAGAATGCTTGAAAAAGTGAGTACAGTATTTTGGCCTATTTTAAAGCAAGGTACCCAACTGAAGTGGCACTGAACAACATCCCCCGGGTCTCTGCATCCCAGTGTTGAATCTGACAAATCTTAGAAGACAAGTGAACAAATTCAAAATAAAATAGGAGTGCTGTCTAATGAAAGCCATTGTGTTAGATGACTAGGTTATTATTTCATTAAAAAGTTGCCATTCTCCTGTGTGTCCTTGAATATTAGAATTTTGAAGTCTTCACTGTCATGTTACTTACTGTTATTGTTGGGTGATTATACATTTTTGTTTTTTTGATAATGTGGCATATCTCTCCTTCAATGTGCACATTATGGGTTTCTTATGCAAGTGTTTATTGTTATTGTTGTTTGTGTTGTTAAGAACATTCTTTGACTGTCACGTGGAAGAGATGTGCCAGCAGAAGATAGTTTTGTTGGGGGAGAAAGAAAATATAAGTGTTTTTTTTTATTTTTTTTAAGATTGTATTTTTCCTTTTAGGAAAATAATATTAAAACAGTCATCATTTTTAGCAACAAAAATAAGTTTCTATATATCTATCTTTAGTTCATATTTAAAGTTTCTGTTGTATTTCATTCATTGGCTTTAGAATAATGAGTTGTAGTATTAAATAACTTTTGGTTAATTGTGCAAAAGGTAGAATTTATGAAAAAAAAACAGTTTAATGAATGACACACCAGAAAACTTTAAAATTCAGTATTTGAGCCCACCTGATAACATTATCTGTGCTATTGATGTTTTTAGGGGGATGACCCATATCTGTGGCCAATGTTCTCATCATATCCATTACCCCATTGCTATCTGTTGGACATGCCACGAAAGGCTTACATAAAACAAGGTATGATAGTTGCTACCAAATGTTTAATGAATGACACACCAGAAAACTTTAAAATTCAGTATTTGAGCCCACCTGATAACATTATCTGTGCTATTGATGTTTTTAGGGGGATGACCCATATCCTTGGCCAATGTTCTCATCATATCCATTACCCCATTGCTATCTGTTGGACATGCCACGAAAGGCTTACATAAAACAAGGTATGATAGTTGCTACCAAATGCTACTATTTTTGGTGTTTTTTAATAATTTGAGAAAAAAGACACTCTAAGGAAGATGAATATTGGTTTCTGTTCATCATATATGCAGGAATGCATTGCTGTCCATTTCTTCATAGTTTAAATTTTTTCTCATGTATCTTGCTTAATTAGTATTTATATGAGACAAAAATGTATTACTTGCAGCAAAAGTATAACAGATCTGTTCAATAGCAGTAGGTATTTGGTTCAGAAAATGAATTACTGGTTTCTGATCTGTTAAATTCTGTGTATGAGGAATTTTAATCATTCAACAGAGGCCTTTTTTTGTTAATTTCTGTGTGCTCATACAAATCCTATATACTTAATATTTCAATTATAATGAGAAGTATTTTTCCCACTTCCATGGGAATCAAAAATATTCAAGTACTTGAAAATATGTAGCTGTGCAGTATAATATGGGTTAAATAAACAAATTGTGGCCTGCTGGAATAGTATATAATTTGAATAACTTGCCAAAGAAAGTCAGGTATAAAAGGAGACTCCTGGCCGGGCGTGGTGGTGCATGCCTTTAATCCCAGCCCTGGGGAGGCAGAGGCAGGCGGATCTCTGTGAGCTCAAGGCCAGCCTGGTCTACATAGTGAGTTCCAGGACAGCTGGAGCTACAGAGAGACCCTGTTTCAAAAACACCAAAAAACAATTTTTTTTTATTTTTGAGAATTTGAGTATATTTGCATTATTTCCATAAAAAGATACTCCTAGCTTTAACTGTATATTTTCTGGGTAATAGAGCAGCATTTTTTGAAGGAGATCCATCAGAAGGACTGAAAGAAACAAATTATATTCAAGGAACTGAGATTTAAATGTGTGCGATTTGGAAGGTTGGAGCAAGAGAGAGAGAAGCTAAGACATATGCACAGGTGCTAATTAGACATGATGCCATCACAACTCCATCTAGGGATTTAGACTTTATTCAAAGGGTCATGGCAACTCAGGAATTTATAGTCTAGGGAATTCCTAGATGAAAAATGAAGATTCATTAAGTAAATTTTTAAAATTTTAATTTATTTTTATTTTTTGTGTTTGCCTACATATGTTTGTGCCCCATGTGTGTTCAAATATTTGATCCTATGGGGGACAATTCTCATTTAAAAAACCACTTTCAATTCCCTGGCCTCCATAGGCACATGACCATTTAACACAAAATATATTTTGTCCAACTTTAAAATTTTCCATAGTCTTTCACAGTTTCAATTCTGTTCAGAAGTCCAAAGTTTCCTTTGAGACTCAAGGCTCATCTTCTAACTGTAAGATCCTATAAAATAAAAAGCAAATCACAAACTTCCAAAATACAATGGCCCAAAAGATACATTCCCATTCCAAAAGGGAGGGATGGGGACATAGCAAGTACTGGACTGAAAACGTGCAGGGAAAACACCACATGCTGTAGCTCTATGTCTTGTGTTTTAGATGACTCTGCTTTTCCCGCTTTGCTACATTCAATGCACATCATTCCTTGGGTAGGTTCCACTCCTCATATGCAGCTCCGCTGACCGCTGTCTGGTACATCATGCTTGGTCTCAGTGGCTCTGAAACCATAGATAAAGAATCCACAAGCCCCCCCCACTCCTGCATGTTGGATGCTTCTGAAGCTCCACATAGCTGGTACTTCCAAGTTCAGCTGCCAACATGGAATGGATCCTGCCTCCTTTGACCACAGTTGTAGAAACTTTTGTTATGTTGTTGTTTTCTAGGACTCCATAGGCCTTTTCCTTTCACAAGCAGGAAGCTTAGCTGGCTGGAATCTTGCCCTGAGAGCAACTTTCCCGTTTTCCAGTGTGGATCAGGAAGCCTCTCTTTAAAGGCATTAATCTCTTCAACAATTACAATCTCTCTTATAGCACTTCCCTTGGCTGCAGCATTAAGGCCCCCTAGTACTTTTTTTCTCTCTAAACTCTACATTTGTATTTCTTTCTGCCCTACTTGCTCTTTTTCATTATAGATTTTTATAAGAAATATCCATGATAGCCATGCCATAGATTCAATATTATGCTATCTTGAAATTTCTTGGGCCCAAGAAATTGGACCATTACTTTTTAACTTAGCATCAGGCAAGTACTTAGGACAGGGGCAGAAATAACCACATGAAGGCCTCTAGCCCAGTTTCTAACATTGTTCCTCTCTGAAACCTCTTGAGCCATGTCTCTATAATCCACAATACTCCCAGCACTGCTGTCTTGCAGGCTCCTACTAAATGGCCTATTAAGTTCTGCTTACCAAATTTAACTGGTTTTCTAGACCAAAGTTCTAAGGTTGTTGACATAGTTCCCATAAACCAACATGGTCAGGTTCCTCACAGCAACAGTCTACTCTCTGGTGCCAACTTCTTTATTACCTCCTTTTCTATTGCTGTGCTAAACACCATGACCAAAAGCAACATAAAAAAAAAAAAGTTTATCTTGGCTTAAAATTCCAGAAGGGCAATCTGTAGTGATGGGAAGCATGGCAATAAGTGGCAGACATGCCTGTGGGAGCAGGAAGCTCACTTCTTCTGTTGCAAACACAAAGCAGAGAAAGCAGACTGGAAGTGGAGTAAGGCTCTGAACTCTCAAAACCCACCCCAGCTACATACTTCTTCCACAAGGCTATACTTACTGAAGAGTCCATGACCTCCCCAAACAGTGCTACCCACTGGGATCAAAGTGTTCAAATGCTTGAGCCTTGGGGGATATCTCTCATTCAAAACACCGCAGTCATATAAGCTATTGCCATATGTTGGCTGTGGGAAATACTGCTGCAGTAGAAATGGATGTGCAAGTAACTCTGACATGTATGCTTCAGGCATATACACAGGAATACGCTAGCTGATTCATATGGTAGTTCAGCTTTTATATTTTGAGGAACCTCCATATTGATTTCCACAGTGGCTGAATTTTCTTCCACCCTATTCCAATCCTGGCCAGCATTTGTCATCCTGTTTTCCTACCGATAACCATTTATTCTGACTAGGATAACCTGGAATGTCAGTATAGTTATTTTTTGTTTTGTTTTTAAAAATTTCATTATTTTATGTGTATATCACTTGCATATGTGTAAGTGCGCCCATGTAATGCAGTGCCCACAGAGGTCAGAAGATGGCATCAGATCCCTTGGAACTGGAGTTATAGACAGTTGTTAGCCATTTTGTGGGTTCTGGGAACTGAACCGGGGTCTTCTGCAAGAACAGCCAATGCTCTTAACTGCTGAGCCATCTCTTTAGCCCCTTGCTTTTTGTTCTTGTTTTGTGAGACAAGGCCTCACACTATAGCCCAGTATGGCCTTGAACTCACTAGTCACCCAGGCCAACTCTAAATTGGGGGCAGTCTTCCTACCCTAAATTTGAGTGTTGGAATTACAGGTATGCTCTATCAAGCCCGAATTTCTTAATGTAACTTCAGTTTGATTTTCATGATGACACTGCCCCACTTTCGATCTTACTGTCTAGCTTTGTATTATTTACAAAGCGTTGAACTAATCTTTTCTTCCTCTGCCTACAGCCCCCATACTTATCTGTGTTACTTCTAACTGGACCTCTACTGTTTAGACACACCAGAATGTAGTTATTTAATATCACTTCTCACTTAAACAGACCACTATTCCTCTTTTTATTTTTCTTGAACTTTCCCCAGTTATGCCTCCTTGATCATAAACTTCTATATTGTTTTCTCTAATTTTTTGATGAGGTGGGTTTTGCCACTGCAAGTTTTTTTTTTAATGTCAGGGTTTAAAAAGTTATTTTTCTTTTATATGTATAAGTGTTTTGACTGCATTTCTATATGTGTGCTTCCAGTTCTTCAAGCAATAAACCTAAAGGTTATTTTCCCTTTTTTATTACCCACAAGTAATCTCTCAGCAAATCTTCTCAACTCTACAGACCTAAAATAAAAACACTTTTACACATCTGGTATCCCTCATCTCACGGACTGTAGAGTCCTGCTGTCTTCCAAGTGTCCCCACACAGCAGCATCATTTGCCTGGACCATGTTACTTCTCTACTGAAATCTTGCAGTGGTTTTTCTGTAGCATGGAAGGCCCAATACTTCTATGATACTCTTCCTGTGCAGCCTTTGTTCTAGGAAATATGGCACAACTTGCAGAGCTGTTTTTCATTTTCCCACTAAATAAGAACTTGCATTGCCTTTCCATTTGTCAAAAAACATCCCAAACCCCACAAGTGTTTGAACCAGACATTTGGAGCTAAACAGAGGTCCCATGTACCCCCATCCTGAGCAGAGTAACTCTGGCTTTGCTGGGATCTTTATTTAGAGTCACCTAAGTAGGTGCAGAGAAGAAGGTATTTCTAGAAGAGATTTAACAAAGTTGTATTCAATCTGTAATTCTTGCCTCATTCTGACATTCTTAGTGTCTGTGCCACTGGGAGAATAACAGAAAATGGTGCAGAAAGTCAGCGTCATGTCTAGCTTTCCCTCAGACCTGAGGGCAGCAATCCTAGCACTGTGAATTTAATAAGGAAAATATAACCCAGTTCACGTTCTGCCAGGAGGAAGGCTAAGTCAGAACTAGTGTGGCTGAAACAGTTAAATAAATTGGACAGCTAACATGCAGCTTAAAAATATTGTGCTTAAGCTAGCAATACTTTAAGACATGAAAGTTATTTTAATAGTAAGAGTCATAGATTTTGTGCTGTGCTTTTTGAGTCATTAGTAATGACTCACTGATTTTGACAGGTATGTTAGTCATCATTTGCACACAAAATTTTGCGATATTGTTTTGTTGTTGTGGAAAAAATTCACTTCAGTTAAGTGCACATGGTGATATGAGCCTTGTTCATCGCCTAGCTTCTAGATTTATCCTCCCTGCTACAGTTAGCATCTCCTCATCTGTTAAATTATCTCTGGTTAGCTCCTTGGCATCAGTGTTAGCTGTGGGATGATTCATCTTCATCTATAAATAAGAGTCTAAAGACATCATCTCATGCAACTATTTTCCTTTGTGAACATTTTC